CCTTTGATGTTCTGAATCCAAAATAAATTCACTGAAATTCTGCAGCCTGAAAGAAGGAAAAACCACAGATTCAAATTGAGAGAACGCGTCACCAGTATAACTGCACTGCATGAATTAAAATAACTTCTACAGAAACAGATGTAAGTTAGAAAAGTTTAGGAAAAAAAATACAGATTAAAAGACCTATAAGTCTGAGTGTATTTTGAGGTAACGCCTCCAAAATACAAGAAATAATTTACAATAATGTGACTCAAAACAAGAAGGGAAGGAGGAGGAAGAGAATGGCAGGCAAGAATTACACACAAGTACAAAATCTTCACTTTCTCTATTCCTATCAGTATAAAGAGTTACATGTTTGCTCAAACTAATGACAATATCAATATGCACTATCAAGGTGCTTGCAAATAGGATAGGTAAAATGAATGACAGCAACTGAACGTGGGTTGGAAAAGAGGAATTGGAGCCTGGCATGGTCACACACCTCTGTAATGCCAGCATTGAGGCCAGCACTGAGGCTGAGGCAAAAGGACTGCCATGAGTTCAAGGCCAGCCTGGGCTACATTGCGAGTTCAAGGCTAGCCCATACTACAAAGCAAGAGCCCATGTCAAAAAACAAACAAACAAAAAAGAGGAGCTGGGAACATAGTAAGGTATCTGCATTGCCCATGCTGCCTATGAAAGAGTACACTGTTAGTTCAGAGTGCATTTAGGAAGGTTGTACATGGATTTTGATAACTAGAAAATTGCTAAAAATACGTAGAAAAAACATTACTTGACATGCAATCCAAGGAGAAAAAATTGAATCATGTAACACATCCAATTTAAATTCAGAAAAAATATGGGAAGCTTAAATGTAAATTAAGGGCAACTAAAACAAAGACAGAACTACACATATGGTACATATTAATCAAATCAATCAATAATCATTTTATATATGAATTATCTGCATCAATTAAACAGAATGACAGAATAGGTTAAAAAATAACCACTTTTCTGTCCTCTACAAGAAAAAACATTTTAAATATAAATACATAGGGTTGGAGGTATTGGGGAGATATTTTTCAAAGGACTCAAACTTTCAGTTGCATAAGAGAAATGTTTATTAGAGCCATTATACAATATGGTTACCATGAGAAAAACATTCTTATACTCTGAAGTATCAATAATAAATTCTATATTAAATGAATTCACACAAAAAAGATTGCTATGAGAAAATGAAAAAATGGACATAAAGTGTTTGTAAATAGGGAAGGGAAGAGGGGGTGAAGGGAGGGGAGGGGTATGGGGAAAAAATGAGAACCAAGACCTGTCATGTAAAGGTACAAGATCCCAATGATGAATGAAACTGTGCTGTATACCTAAAATGTACCAATAAACTCAATGAGGAATAAAAAGGGATTTAATAATGATAAGGCAGTCAGTTTTCCAAAAATACCATTGTCAAAAACAGAAAAACTTGGGCTGGGGATTTATTTAGCTCAGTGATGCTACTGCTTGCTTCGCAAGCGCAAGGACCTGAGTTTGATCTCTGGTACAAAACAAAAAAACAGAAAAACTTAAATATGAAACAGCCCAAGCCCCACAGGAAGTGGAATGAGTGACAAATAATACTTCAGCTTGTGTTCATGTCTGAGAACAGAACTGGATAAGACTCGGAGAAACACACGAGAAGGGACCATGGGGTAATATACAGACATCCCTACTTGATGACCTATCTGGTTAGTGGTACTTCTCACTTAGGAGAGGGATGCACTGCTTGGACCTGCAACCCCCTGCTCAGACATGCAACCCACATTTGGACTTATGATGTAGGAATGTGAGCAGCAGTGAGGCTTTATGGTAGCTTTTTCTACAATACAGGACAGACAGTACTATGATTTTTGCTGATTGTACAGTATTTTAGTTTTCTATTCTGTTATACATTACAATGCTCACATAAGAGCTATGCAAATAAAAGCAAAGTCATTCAGTTGAAGTTTCTTTTCATCGTTTCTTGGTTCTGAATATTTTACTGTATATACTATACAGGTTCCATCAACTCATTTAATGACCTAGGTGTGGGAACAGAACTTGGTCATTGAACAAGGACTGTCTTTATTCACCTCCACGGTGATTCTATGGATTTTAAAAATATTCTTATTTAAACATAGCATGAAAAAATTAAAGATTTATTTCAAGAATTATCTTTGCTTCTTTAGACCTCATCATTTATCTACCAAGAAAATCACAATTTGTAACTCAGACCATCAAATAAAAACCTTGAAATGTTAAAAAGTAAAATGATATTTTATTTAATTATTTTATTTATTTATTTTTTTGGTACTGGGGATCGAACTCGGGTCCTTGCGCTTGCAAGGCAGGCAGCAGAACCACTGAGCTAAATATCCTGCCCATAAAATGGTATTTTATAGAAACAACATGTCAGCAGGAAAAACAGAAGGGAAGCAGCTCTAGAGAGCAGCCTGTTGCCCCCATATTTCACAAGGACCCCACATTCAGGTCAAGCACATTCCTACGCTTAGAGGACAGATTCCTATGCTCTATGGGCAGAGGCAGGCCAAAGTGGCTAGGACAGGGAGCTGAGCAGCCAGGAAATTTCACCCTTCATTCTGCTCGTCCGTCCTTCCTCTGCAAGTTTAATTCTGACAGTTACCAAACACAGCTACAGCTGGTTTGAGATTTTCACCACTGCTGTTTTTTTTCACATCACAAGTGACACAAAATGTATAGAGCCAACCAATTCCCCAACACTAACCGGTTGTCTCATAATTCAATTCTTTTTTTTTTTTTTTTTTTTTTTTTTTA